GGGATTGCGGCATGGCCATTCCCCCGGGGGGTGGGGTGATTTCTCGCTTTCTGTCTATCTGGCGAGCGCATGCGCCCTATAGCAAAAAAACTACCCCCCCCCAAAAAAAAAAGACAATCACTCTGGGCATGTAGACATGCATGCTAAGACTCTGAAAAGGATGGGAATATAGAGGAGAAGAAATGGCAGCATGACCATTCTCCATGGGAGGTACTTTCTCACTTTTCCTCTCTGACTCTGGCATGTGCACAAGCCTTCTGGAAAAAAACTTTTTGAAAGAGTATTACCTATGAAAGAAGAAGAATATGATATTATATTTAATATTGTTTTTTATTATAGATTTTTTAAGAATTATTTTCTTTAACTTTATTTAATTAATTTGACCAGAAAAGAACAGAGTGAGAGAGAGGGAGAAGGAAAGAGAGAGAGAGAAAGTGAGGACATTAGTCACCAAGTTCGGGACATGAACCATGGTTGGCCATGTGGGAGTCTAGCGCCCTTAACCACCATGCCACCTGCAGGCCCCACATTTAATTTTATTGGGTATGATAAATAAGCATGGTTACATATGGCATACCCGTATTCGATGCATGTTGAAGTATTTAGGGTGAAGTAAATGGTATTATGACTTACTTGGAAAATGTTAAAAGAAAAAAAGATGTGTGTGTTTGTGTGTGCACACGCACTGTGTGCATGTGTGTTTAGTATATCCTATCTTAGAAGGGGCATAGAAGAGGAAGAGCAGAGGAGGAGAGAAATGAAATATGTATACTGAAATGTTAATAACTGTTGACTCTAGGAATTTAGGAGGTAGGAGAGAAAGATTTATAGGTCTTCACTATGTTTTTTATTTTTAACTTTTCTTTTCTTTTTTTTTTTTTTTTTTTCATATGTGAATTTTTTTTACTGCTGTATTTTTAGTTTGTGTTGACCAGCACGGGCCCGGGCCTGGACCCGTGGCCAGCCATGTGGGAGTGTCCAGCACCTTAACCACCATTCCACCTGTTGGTCCCCTATCTTTAACTTTTCTATATTCTTGTAACTTTTCTCTAAGTATGTTGGAAAAACAAAAATTTCAAAAAATATTTTAAATCAGGTAATATTTCAATTAAAACCATTATTGAACTAACATATATTGAGGAATTACTGCTTTTTGGGGGGCATGGGGAAAGCAATATCATATTTTAACACATAGAATCTTTTGAGATCATTTTTTATTGCTAAGGTTTATGATTTAGAGCTTCCTTGATTTAGGGATTCTGCTTCTTATCACCTTGCTTGTCTCACCTGTTCAATCTTTTACCAAGTGTCATTGTTCTAAAGTAAAATACTCTGTATCATGTTGTCCGCAATCCATTGCCAGAAGGCCTGGTTCCCCACAATCCCTTGCGTGGTACACTTTCTTCTGGATCATTCAGTAGAAAAGGAGTATGTGAACATGGTAACTGCACATTGAAATGACTGAAACCACAATTAATTAGAATGAGACTATAGGCAGATAAATATAGCTGGCTAGAAATAGTTAAGATAGATTTTTATGCAATGGATCCCTTTGGTAATCTGGTGAAGACTGTAACTCCTCAAAATATTTTTAAATTCACAATATAGAATATATAAGATGCCAAAGGAAACCAATTTTATTGACATACAGCTATAAAACTATTAGACAAATCAAATTTGTGATTTAGTGCTACCCATGCATGTTTATAACATACTATTGGCTTGTCAGAAAAATTATGATGCATTTTTGCATAGAAAAAGGAAAAAATATGTCAAGACTTTTCTAACAGCCCAATATGTAATAAGATCTTGTAGCATATCTAATAACTACTTTAGTTTCTTTTTTTTTTCTTTTAAGATTTTTGCCTTAGGGCATGTGAGCTCACTGGAGAGACAGAGACAATGAGAGAAAAAGTGAGAAATTACTTCCTAGGGGGGATGGCCATGCTGCAATCCCTTCTCCTCTAATCTCTTCCTGGGATTTTGGGCACCCACTCATACGTGCCTGGTATACTTTTCAAGCCTCCAGGTCTGAGACTCAAATCATGAGCCACCTGCTGGCCAACTACTGTAGTTTTGAAGTAGTTTGAAGTGTAGATGTAATTTTGAGATATCTATAACAATTCTAAGAAAATATGAAACTGTGATTTCAGTTATTGTTAGCATTGCTGTGGGTGGGGTTTTTTGTATCTATATTCAAAATGGAAGGGAATGCTCAATTTCAGTTTCAGGTTAGTAAAGATGAATAGTTAATTTTTTTCTCCATCCAAGATCATAGCATCCCTTGAATTTTATCTATGGACCTGAGTTTAAGAACCTTTGTACACAGACTTGCTTTGTTTTAACCTACAGCTTCCATTTATAGCTGATAGGCTTTCTTTTTTAGTTCCTTCATTTACAAAGATCATTTAGGTGGCTGCAGCCATCATTAAACTCATTACTATGACACTTAAACCTATAGACGTTATCCAGTTCCTCTGTTACATAATTGAAGCAACAGTGAATTTGATCTTGAATTGCACAGCTAATTGGCTATATTTTGTACTTCATTTGCCTGCAACATAGAGTAACCTTAATGAATGTCCACTGCTATTTGAACTTTGCTGAGAATCTTTTTTTCACAGTTCTGATATCTGATATTTTCAAAGAAAAAGGTTTAAAATTGGGTAGTTATAAGGCTCACAATAATTTTCATAGACTTTCTTGCTTAAATTATATACTTTCTTTCATGTGTGTCCCTGCATTAAGAAAAGCTAAATATTTCTAACAGCTGTATTTAGAGACCATTATAAACTAGGAATACCGTTGTTAGGTTGAATAGGCATTTAATTTTTCACCTGTGCAATAAGTCACTTCTCTTTCTAACTTCTACTTGAGTTTCTCTGAAACCATGCCAGTGATCAACAATAGTTTCATGATAACAGCCTTCCCACCATCACTATGGTTTGCTTAACATATTTTTATAAAATATTATTTCATTTATTGATGCTTGATTTACTAGGAGATGTGTGGGAAGAGCTGTTGAATGTATCGGTAGAAGTGGCACGTGCATTTTATTCTATTTTTACATTTCATAAAACTTAAATGATAGAAAAATCTTGAGAAAGTATGCCACAGAACTGATTTCAGTGGAAATTTAAATGTGCTTAACATGTATTTAGAAGATAAAGTGGGAAGTTGATAACTTTAAAAGCTGAGTTAAAAAAAAAAAACTCAAGGAAGCTGATGCTGACTTTTTAAAAGCACAAAAGTGCAATATTTAATGTAGGTCAAAATGTTTAAATGGAAGAAATGTTTCTAACCAATTATGGCCAAATCCCTAGTTGTAATTAACCTCCAATTTGTGAAATATTTCACAACAGAGTCAGCATATACCACTTTCTCATAAACTGAGGATTAAAAATTTTAGTGCTTATTTGGTGAAATAGGCATATTACCCCATCTTCATTAATAACTTATCATTTCAATTTAGAAGCCAATAACAAATAATATTTTGAAAATTCAGGTGAATAAAAGAGTTATTAAAAAGGATACTAATGTGTTCTCTTCAAATATTACATAATAAGATATTTAAAAATGAAAAATAAAACCCCATAAATATTAAATAAAAATAACCCTCCAATCAATTTAATCCACTTTATGAAATCAAAAAAATATTTTATAGCATGTTATTCAATTTTACTTCATCTCATTTCTTACTACCTTCTTTTAAACTATATTAAACCTAGTTCAGAAATACACTATAAACGTTTAAGTCTGTTCATAGGGCAAACATATCAGTTATTTAAATAGAATATCTGTGTGTTTAATAAAAGGATTTC